CCTGGCACAAGTAGGATTTTTTTTAATTACCTTCAGCAGTGTGGTGTCTAAAAGGTTTGCTGAAATATATACTGTTCAATAAAGCCATTGTGGTTATGTTTCCAAATGTATTTTCCTGGTTTTTAATAAATTTAAACATGCATGTAAACATAGTGGGTAAACAGATGTCTCGGGAAAGGCTCTATGTGCTTATATGGTCCTTGGTACTACTGATCATCTTTTAGGAATTTGTACAATACAAATCCATTGTTTGGCACAGTAAAGACGTGCTGCGGGGGATTGAAGCACAGTTGAAGTTATCAGGCTGTGTAGGCTCGCTCTCTGCATGTGTATGTCAGAGGTAACATCTGAGTTAAGTAGCTGAAGTTTAACTATCAGTTGCCTGCACCTGACACCCCACATGTGCTTCTACAAAGAAGTAAATAAAATAATAATTATTGGAGAGGAAAGAGAGTGGTGTTGAAGTCTGCTTGGAGAGAGAGTGTGTGTTTTTTAAGGGAGAAGACCGCATGGTAATGGATGCCTATGGAAGAATGAATGGGGAAAGGAGTGACAAGGAAAGAGGAGAATAAAAGAGACAGAAGAACAGGGGGAGTGAAGGGATAAGAACTGAGGAGAGAAAAGACAACGATGGGTGGAGAGACTTTGGCTTGTGATCAGAAATGAAAACAAGGTAAGAAAAGGAAGGGGTGAGAAAAACTCATTGAGAGACCTGCCCCAATGATTTTCAGGGTAATTGTACTGTGAGAGGAATCAGTAGGGCTGCACATGGCTTCTCTGTGGATTTGTGCAGATGGCTGCATTAGGAATAACATTACCAGCAGGTCAAGGGAAATGATCCCGCCCCTCTGCTGAGCTCTAGCGAGGCCACATCTGGAGTGCTGTGTGGAGTCCAATTCTGGGCTCCGCAGTACAAGAGACATGGAGCTCCTGGAGCAGGTCCAGTGGAGGGCAACAAAGATGATTAAGGGACTGGACCATCTCTGTTACGAGGAAAGGCTGAGGGAGCTGGGCCTGTTCAACCTCGAGAAGAGATATCTGAGAGGGGACCTCATCAATGTCTCTAAGTATCTGCAGGGAGGGTGTCAAGAGAATGGATCTGGGCTCTTCTTGGTGATGCTGTGTAATAGAACAAGAGGCAGTGGGCAGAAAATGATGCACAGGAGGTTCCTCCTGAATATGAGGAAGAACTTCTTCACTACACAGGTGACTGAGCGCTGGAACAGCTTGCCCAGAGAGGTGGTGGAGTCTCCCTCACTAGAGGTATTCTGGACCGTCTGGACACAATCCTGTTCCATATGCTCTAGGATGACCCTGCTTGAGCAGGGAGGTTGAACCAGATGAGCCACTGTAGTCCCTTCCAGCCTGACCCATTCTGTGATTCTGTGACACAGTTGCATTGATGCCAGTCCATGCTTTGGGCCAAGCTGCTGGCCTTGCTAGCACTTTCTTCCCTGGACATTTTCACCATCCTCCTCTTCCTCTCTTGCTGCTATGCAATTTGTGTGGAAAGAGGCCCTTGTTATTCCTTATTTTTGTCTCTGTTGTTGTGTATCAGAGTGACTGTGCTTCACTGCCCTCTTCTCTAGTAATCGAGGATGCCTCTAGGGTGTTTTTTCTTTACAATTATCAGTTTCAGATTCTGAGAATTATTTGGGTATTTTGTGATAGATAGTATTTAGTCATGAAAGTTTTAGGTGAATCTTATAATAAGATGAAAGAGCAAATGAATTGTAAAGGAAAAAAGGAGAAATTCATGAGGAAATGAAATTACATAAATAACATGAGTGCTTTTAGAAGTACTGAGGAAAAGTGTGTGGCATTGGTTGGAATAAAAAAATGGAAACTTAAATCTTAGATTTATCTTTTTTCTTTTTTTAATGGGACTCTTAGGGTGGGGATGTCTAATTGCCAGCACAGCATAGGTCAAGCAATTTCCGCAAATGTTCTGACCCCTGTGATAAATTCTGTGATGCAGAGAATCACTTCTGTTTAAGGTTACACAAGAGCTTTGGAGTTAAGCTGCAGATAGTAGAAAACATCCCCATAGCTAGATTAAGCTATGTACCATACAAATAGTTTGTCGTTCAGTTAAAACTTGCTTGGCTGCAGCTTTATCTTGTTATGCTTTTTGTTATTGCCAGACTCTCTCTGGATCATACTTAGTAATGATGTGCTCAGCTTCCTTCCACTTTCAATTGAACAGATAAAGTATCTTTGTAACAGTTCTGATTATAAAGTCACTGTACTGTCACTTGTTTCATTTTCTCCCATTTTATTGACAAAGCAGTTGCAGAACATTGGTCCAGTAATAGATTTGCAGAGTGAAACATTTTGCTGGGTTTTTAGGAAATAATTTTGCTGGTTTTAGCAGGGAAGGAATTAAAATGACAGGGGTTTGTCTCGTCAGTCCCCATGGAAGCCTGCTCAGCTAACGAGCATCTGGAAGGTCATGGCTCCAGGAGATCGTGCCTCTTAAGTGCTTAACTGGTAAATGATGGTGCCTGTGCTGGGACTCTGCTCGGCCAGAGTCAGAGCCAGGTGACACCTCTCCCCACACTGCCTGGAGCAAAGGGTTCTGCATACCTGGAGGCAGGTAACAAAGCAGGGGAGCCATTGGCCTGGCTGAGGGGCTGGCAGTGAGGGGAGCAGGCACTGGGCAGAGAGGGTCTCTGAAGGGTGGGTGGCACAGGCTGAGGAGATGAGGCTGGGCACATGGAGGCAAAGGGAAGACACACACTGCCCAGACAAGGGCATGTGCTGGTGTTAGTGGTGGTGGCAGATATTTACAGCGACAGCTGTAAAAATTAGAACACAGTCCCTTTCAGGTTCTGTAGCAGAAACAAACTCCTGCTTGAGTTTCTCCTGCAGCGAGAACGTCAGCATGAAACATGACTGTCACCCTGTGTGGGGTTGTTCTGCCCACAGAACAGCATCCTACTGGCTTTTGTTGTAGCTGAGGTGCTTGCTCTGTCTAAAGGTTTCTAGCCCTGCCAAGGGAAAACTGACAGTACCTGGTGGAATTTGTGCTTTTACTGTCTGTCCTTTTCAGAAGACAAAAAGAAATTACATTAATCTTTTTTAAAAACCACAAAGTCCAGAATTTAGAAGCTGTGATCTTCAGGATTAATAAACTCAATATAAATTCAACATATTGTGTGCAGTGCAAGAACAGATACTGTTTTCCTCTAGAGGATACCTGTCTTGTCTTCTGCAGGGGCTGCTTTGGAGAGGAATGAAAAGCAGCATGCTGCAGCATGACCCATGTTTCATTTGCTGTGTAAATTGAAAAGTTTCGAGTTGATGAGTCCAGGGATTGCAGGAAGAAAAAAGGCATGGTCTTGAGATCCCCAGGCTGGATTTCATCCCTGCCATGAGCTTCCTCTATAAGCAATATTAATTTTCAATCTTGTGTCCCCATCATCTTGTGACATGCTTTTTTGAGCCATAGGGATGTAATCTGGTAGCTGGCTGCTTAAACCTTGTGTGAAGTCTGTCATGCTGAACAAACATGGAAGTATCAAATTCAGGAATGTGCAGACAGAATTTTGCCGCTTAGTAATTTTTTGAGAATTTGAATTTGCACTGTTAACTGTCCTTGAATGCAGAGGGGTGATGTGTATGTGCTGTGGATTATGTAGCTGGGTACTCAAGGACTCCTACTACCTGAGCATTTCTCAGGTAACTAAATTAGAAATGGCAACAGAAATCTGTTGAAGCAGCAACTTCATTACTCAGAAGGGTTCTATGCATAACTTATTATATTCTGTTTGTGCAAAAAAGTAAGTAAAAGGAACAGCTTTTGTGCTCAGCAAGGCCCAGAGTTGGTTTTACTTCTTATAGGAATTAATTTCACGGCCTGTGGGTAGTACTTGTTAAAACCTTCCTCTTGCATACAGACCTTCCCAGACAGCTGGTTGCTTTTCAGGGAATTGAAAAAGCATTCATTGCTGTAGAAATATGTGCAGTGAAAATAGAGACTGCTGCCTGGACTGATGTATTGGACAGCTTTGGTGATGGCCAGACACACCTTCAGTTGCACTCCCTGTGTGTTGGAAAGCGGGTTCAGGAAGCAGATATGCTTATGTTGGGTTTCTGAAGAGCTTTTCCCACCACCTTTTTTTTTTTTTTAACCTGCAAGAAAGATTTTTATTTTTTTTTAATTACATATAAAGGTGACAATAATCAAGCTTGGATTTCAGGTTAATGCAGTAACACTAGATCTCATTGTGATTAGACAGGCATGGAAAAATGAGAATTGTTTTTATCAGCTTTGCCAGTTGAGCATCTGGTGATGCCTAGGGGGTGAGTGGCGTAGTGCATTGAAAATTAATTGACTATCAACTTCACATTGCTCATTCAGAGCCCTACAAATGTTTATTATTCATGATGTATGGCACCCTTCCAGGTGTTGGATGGACCGCACTGAGATGACGGTGCAGAAGGCACAAAAAGGAACACGTCACGGGGGGTTGAGACTGATATTCACTGCTCCCTGTCCCACCTCAGACTTCCTCTTTGACTCTGCCCAAAGCATCTACTGTCCCCTGTATGTAAAATGGATGCACTAAAACAAACTCACTTTTCAGTGAATTAGCATTTGATCAACTTCAATTTTTACATCCTTGTGTAGGAACAACTAAATGGCATTATTTACCAGCTGTTGTACTATTTTTTTCATTACTAAGCGGAGTTTTTGAATATGTTATAATGACTGACACTCATTACAAATTTTGAGTTTCTGCTTTCTTAATGTGGATCTTTCTGCATGGCAGCAGTTTTCCGCTAACTAATATGTATTCTAGAACTGTGCTCCCACGTTAAATCTATCATGTTTTTATAGTCTGTCTCCTCTGGAGCTGGCAACAAATAGAAGCACGCTAATGTGCACCAGGGACATCATTAGAGGGGTATATGTGTTGTTATTGGTTAGCTTTGTTCCTGCCTTGGCATCATGGACAAGAACCTTGATTTCTCCATGTATTCTTCTTTCCCTGCAGGTATTGAGAACCTGCCATTTGAATTGCAGAGAAACTTCCAGCTCATGCGAGATCTGGATCAGAGGACAGAAGGTGAGGCTTAAAGATGGTTTTGTTGCCAAGACAATAAGTATGTAGCTTGACCAGCTTTTCTTTGCTTTGCTTTAATCATGGGGATCTCCGGGCAGGGAAAAAAGCCTAAAGCTGCTCCACTCATTCAGTCTCTCTTACTGGAGGGCACTGTAGCATTGTGTGTATTTATGTATTTAATGGTAAACTTGTTTCAGACCTCAAGTCGGAGATCGATAAGTTGGCCACAGAGTATATCAGCAATGCACGAACTTTGTCTTCAGAGGAAAAACTGGGGCTTCTCAAGCAAATCCAGGAGGCCTATGGGAAGTGCAAGGAGTTTGGGGACGACAAGGTTCAGCTGGCTATGCAGACCTACGAGATGGTATGAAGGGAAGTGTCTAGTGCTTATTGGGTGAAAGTCCGAACTAAAGCCCCTAGTCTTGAAAGGCCTTGATCTCTCATTTTTAGGCCCTGCCCGCTCTTTGCTTCTTGGCTCCTTAGTGCAAGCCCCCTCTTCTTTGCCCTCCTGGGCTCTGTCCTGTGGTGACTCCTGGTCACTGTTGTCTTTGCAGGTTGATAAGCACATCCGGCGGCTGGACACAGACCTCGCTCGCTTTGAAGCAGACCTGAAGGAGAAGCAGATAGAGTCGAGTGACTATGACAGTTCTTCCAGCAAGGGCAAGAAGAGTGAGTACCACCACTGGGCTGCAGATTGATACAGGAGGCAGCCAAGTGACTATGGAAGTGGTGGGGATGAAGGCAGGCACTGGAATGGTACAGATCAAAGACTGTTGCACTGGAATCTGAAGGACAGGTAAAAAGATGGTGACCTGTGCGCTTCTTGTGTGAGGATATTCAAGGCCACTAGATAAAATTAAGATGGAGTGCATGGCCCAAAGCTGATATACATTCCAAAGTAGGAGCGTATTTTAATGCTGGAGAGGTTGTCACCATGTCCGGTGTCTATTTTGATGGGGTGACAGATGCAACACCTTTTTCTCTTCTTATCAGAGGGCCGAGCCCAGAAAGAGAAAAAAGCTGCCCGTGCTCGCTCTAAAGGGAAGAACTCTGATGAGGAAGCACCAAAAACTGCCCAAAAGAAATTGAAGCTTGTCCGCACGTAAGTGTTTTAAGAGACTTGCAGGAATCAGGAGCAGCACTAGAAATCAGACCAAGGAAGGCCCAGCCTGAGAAGGATAGCTGATCCCCACCCAGACTAGAAGGGTTTATCTCCTGTCCCTTCTTGGGAAGCAAGAAGAAGGGAATCTTTTTAATTCTTTCAGGGGAGTGTAGGTTGAAGAGGAAAGCAGGTCACTTCACTGGAGTTGGGTGTATGTGCTTAAATAAGAGAAGCATCTGTCTCTGGCAAACGAGGACATTGTCTTGGGAGACATGAAGGGACTCAAAGCCAGTTATTTTGCTGACCTACTTTATTCCTGTCCTGCAGTAGCACAGAGTATGGGATGCCTTCAGTCACCTTTGGAAATGTGCACCCTTCAGATGTACTGGATATGCCCGTGGACCCCAATGAGCCTACTTACTGCCTTTGCCACCAGGTCTCCTATGGGGAGATGATTGGCTGCGACAACCCAGATGTAAGAGCCTGCACTTGATGGAAATGGGGGAGAAAGGAGTGGAGAGAAGACTCTTGGATGGAAAGTCTTGTCCTGCTTGGGTGGGGCCTGATACAGCAAGCAGTGGAAGGAGACGGGGAGTTTGGGAAGGGCAAGGGTGTGGCATACCATGACCTGTTAAGTGCCTCTTTTGTCAGGGTTTTCCTTAAAATGTTTTCTTGCCCCTAAACTTAGCAAGGGACAAGGGGAGTTCTCCTTGCTAACAGTGTGTAGATTGGGTGTGAGTCTTCATTCCCTGATTGCTGCTAGGGATTTAGGAGTTTGTGATCAAATGCTGGGAATCTCCGGTAGCCCAAAAGCAATGATTTCAAAAGAAAACTGCTCTTTAACTGACTGCTCTCCATCCCAACAGTGTTCCATTGAATGGTTTCATTTTGCCTGTGTGGGTCTGACAACAAAACCAAGAGGGAAATGGTGAGTGAACAAGCAACCTGGAGGGCCCATTGGCCTTTGGAAAAGGGAGGTCGCGGGTGGCAGATGGGAGAGTACACTTAAAAGACCTCATAAAAATGAAAAATTGAATTAAGGCTTTGTTAGAGACCTTGGAAAAGGTCTTTTGGGACTGTATGTTTGAGGTTCATGTCATGCCCTCAGCGTTGGCTTTGTACTTCCCTTTCTAACAGGTTCTGCCCTCGCTGTTCGCAGGAGAGGAAGAAGAAGTAAATTCCCATGAAACCTCAGAACTGCTGCAGGAGCTCTCTTCCCCCTGCCAGGGCCTCGTCCCAGTTCCCCCAGCCCTGGGGCCTTGGCTGAGGGGGAGTCTTGCCCTGTTTGTGGTTTGAGCCATCCCTGGAATGGTGTGTACCCTCACTGTGGTTCCTGTGTGTTCTGTATCCCGGGTTGCTTCCAAGTCCCTAAGGGAGGACTTCTCTGTGTACTATTCCAAACAGGTCTCTGAACCTCAAAGGGAATGAATGAGGGCACCAGGGTAGCCACCAGATTCCCAGGGATTCAGGTAGCCCCTGATTTTCCTTGGCTTTCCTTCAGCCTCCTCAGAGTTCATTGCCTACTCTGTGCTTAGAGAACAAGGCTATGGGATGGGGGAAGGAAAGGAGGTAAGTCTTCAGCATTTTAGGTCATTGATTTTCCTGGATCTTTTTCAGGAGAGAGGGAGTAACCAGGCTACTTCTTAATCTAGTGGGCTGGTTGAGAAACTGAAAACCTGATGTGCTCCCTGTCTTTAACCATTCCATTACTGGCATTGAGCAGCCTCTTTTGCTGGGGAGAGGAGGAGGCAGAGGGAGTGTTTAGAGCTAGCTTTGTCTCCCTTATTCCTGGGGTAACCCTGTTGGTCTGGGAAGCACATTATGGGAAGGAGGAAGAATTTCTAACCACGTGGGGAGAAGTGGCTTGGTCTAGCCTGTCTTCCGGCTCCAAAATTCTGCCTTCCTTTTGTGCAGTGGTGCTTCTCCATTATGTTGATGGTGGAAAGTTTGGGGATCAGATCCCACTTGTATAAAACAGAATGAAATAAAATTCATTGAAAAAAAATACTCTGTTTGCCTTGCTGTTACCTCTAAAATAAACTGTGGCAATTGGTCTCTCCAGTTCTTTCTTAGCTCTGCTTTTATTGTAAATTATGAATGTGGTACAAATTTCTCATGTACCAATCCTAAATAGCATTAATAAGTGACATTCTGCATAAGTCAGGCTTTAAAATGTACCTAATGTACTTGCAAAAGGTTACTAAGCTTTCTAGTGAATGTGAAAAACATCTGCCCTATCAGTCGTGCCCTCACAAGAAGGTGGACATTTATTCACATTATTGTTTGATCATGTACTTCATCAGTTGCCTTCTCTTAAATGAGGAGGGGTGGAGGTTATTAAGGTCAACACTCACTCTGGCTGTTGGGCAGCACAGCTGAGAAAATAAGCCATCAGGACAAGCCATGTGCCTCCAAGAATGTGGGTAGGTATTTCCAGATATCCTGATAACTTGCTCCCTAGTGGGTCACAATCAACTTGTTGCCAGAAATGTGTGGCTCCAAAACAATTACTGAAGATGTGTCTCTGTAGTGTCTGTAGGTAACTGTGAGGAGATGACCCACACTGAAGCTCCCCTTTATCGATTCCATTGGCAGGACCTGGAGATGGATGAGCCCAAGTCTCTTCTTGCTGCTTGTGGTTTGCTCATCAGGAAGGTTTAGGCTTTTCACCTGAAACACAGAATGTTTTCCTCACACGTATGACTTGTATGAGGATCCATGGAAGATTTTGCTCTTGTAGTCATGAAGCCAAAGCTCTGCTCAGGTTCAGAGGACTGTGGGTGAAGAGCAATGTTATTCCCACCTTGTCATTGTATGGGGACCCTGTCAGCCATCAGCTCAGGAGCTGGAGTTTTCTGCTCAAGGGAGTTAGCATTGAGTCAGTCCTTGCTTTTTCTTCGAAAAGGGGTCTGTGGGTTCCCGTTTTGCACAGAAAAAAGTAGAGGTGGGTTCTTGCCCAGGCTATGGCTCATGTTTTTGGTACCCCTGCCACAATCTCAGTCTGAAACCCCAGATTGTATTGGGCCACTCCCTGGGGCTTCCCTTCTTAAACAGAGAGAAAGTAAATTCTGGAAGATGTTGGCTATGTGTCTGGTACAGTATTCATAGTGGGGAGACACTGTGCCGTGATCCAGGGGGTGAGACAGCTGTGGCAGGAGAAAAACTTTATTGAGCTGGGGTTAATTCAGACAGCAGCAGGGTGCTCAACTGACAGAAATGGAGGATGTGGTCTGAACTTGAAGATGGGCTTTGGGCAAAGCGCAAGGGTGACGAAGGATGCAAACAGTCCTCCAAGCAGTTTGGTTTTGAGGGGACACGACTGTAATTGTAATGGCCAGTGTTAGCAGCAAGTTCTCTAGGAACTGTGGGCTAAAGGAGTGTTTGGAGCACTAGCCCCGTAATGAAACCACTGCTGACCAAGGATAATAAGTAGCTTATAAAAGCATGTGGTATCATGTGAGAGTGTGTGAGTGGGCAGGAGTGTGTTGCACACCAAACCAGCAAACTGGTTTGGGAAATACAAGTCTAGGGTTTTCTGCAGTCAGCATAGGATGCTGGGAGGGGGAGGTAGACTGGAACGTTCCTGTTTTCAGACTAAAACTTGGCCACAGCGTTCCCATTGTGCTTCTTGGCACACTGAGAATTGGAACATTCTGATGGCCTAATGCAAAACAGATGAGAAACACCTTGGCTGGGTTCTGATTCAGTGCCAGAAAATGGCAAGCAGTGCTGCTGTTTTACTTCCCTGCCACTCTGCTGTTGTGTCCTGCTTCTGTCCAACAAAGGGGTGCTTCAGCCAGCAGCATGGAGCATTCAGGGGACATTTGCTGCAGCTGAGGGAGTGCTCTGACTTACAAGAAGAGGGAACTTAGACCAAAATTTGGATAAAGCCTCAGCATTTTTAAACGGCTTAAAAGTATAAATGCAAATGAAAGGACATTAAAATGTAACCTTGGAAGGGAGGGAATAAGGGCAATAGCTGTGCAATATGTAATCACCAGAGGAGGAAAAAAATCAGTAGAAGCTGGAAATTACAAAGTACAAAAATGAAGCCAGTGGGAACAAAGCCTATAAGTGACAAGGCTGGAAACATGAGCAGCTTTTTTTAGAATGCCTTTTGTTTTTGATATAATTGAACATGGCACATGTCCATTACCAACTGCAGATAGCAGAATTGTTTGTAATGAGAGGAGGGGAAGTGTTCTGTAAATATTTATTCTGTGTTGGTGCTGGTGTCAATATGGGGATGATGTACTTCCTAGGCAAACAGTAAAGGAGAGTTTTAAATAGCATCTATTGGGGCCAAGACTTTTTTGATCAGCAGTCTTCAATAAATTATGTCTGTCGTCCTGTGAAAGCCACCCAAAGGAGTCTGTGGACTACTCTCTGAAAGGCTCTGAACTGCTAAGGAAAGCCCACAAGGCTGGAAAAGAGCCAGCTCTGTGCTGGTCCTTAATGATGTCAAGAAGGCTGCCACAGCAGTCCAGATGTGAAATACTGAAACAGCAGGGAAGTAAATTGCTTCTCTCTAAAACAAACAAGAAATCCAGGTCAACAAAATGAAATCAATTTGACTGGAAGTATCAAAAACAGGTCAGTCAAAAACTACTTTAATTTTTTTGTTTTTAAATATCCTTGTTAATAGTTACCTGTATCACTCTAGTGGTAATGGGATCTGAAAAGTTTACTTCTCCTAGAATTGAAGTGCTTAAAGCAGGGTTACACTAAGTTAAAGTAATCATGAGCTCCTTTACAGAACTGGCTAGCTTGCAGATTTCCTGGAACAGCTGTCAGTGCAACATAAACACTTTCTAAAATGGTGCTGGAGAAATTGCCCTTTTAGAGTGATTGGAAATATCCTAGTTGATGAGTAAAGTCAAGTCTGAGTTTCAGGAAGCTGCAGCCATTCAGCACGACAAGAGGGAAGATTTTTCCAGCCTCTTCAAGCCCATTTATTAACAATAATTGGTCATGCACACAAATGACCAGTTTATCTTGTCCAGCTGTGATTGCCCCATCTTTGGGCATTGTTCCTAGGTAGCTGGGCAAATATATTGATGAGGATGTTCAGCAAAGAATTCCCCTTTCCAGCGAGCAGACGTGCTCACCAAGCTCCCATCCCTTGGGCTCTGCCACCACCATGTCCATTGCATGATGTGCACAGAAACCATCACCTTCCACCAGTGGGACCACCTTCCTCCCCTGCTTTTGAATAAAGTGATTGAACTCGCCCCCTAGCTCAGCAACATCCAGCCTTCCATTAAGCACTTTTAAGGTGTTACCTAACCATACACTCAGAGCCATGTGGTGGACAGTCCCCCCCTCACTATCTGTTTAACAGCTTGTATAAGGCTTCTGTGCTTAAGCAGACTCATTGAAACTCAGCTGTAGGGTGTATTTCTGTGAGACTCAGATTATCACGGATCAATTCTTATGAGACAGTTACTCAGAACTGGAAACACTGATTGGAAAGTACCCCGGAGGTCGTCTGCTTCAGCTTCCCCTTCAAAACAGGGCTGCTGTCCGTCCTACATCAGGTCAGATATATGCTGAGTACCAAAACTCTCTGTAGCAGAGCAACTAGGATAAGAAGCAGCAGCTGAGTGACTCAAGGTGAAAGGTGATATTGCTGATGATCTTAAGGCTCAATTCAAATGCCAGCTGAATCAGTCCGGAGATCTCAGCTTGGCAGTGTAGAAGAAAGACGTTCCCAAGAGACAACTTGCTCATATTGAAATGACTTAAAATAAGCCCATGTCTGCCCAGACACAGCTGGTTTGACAGTTTCTGAGCCATTGTCCCTTTTATAATCAACCATGGCTCTACTTTCTCTCTGCCATGTGAACCAGGAGGATGAACTGTGAAGATGTTGACAAGTTGAGGGGCAACATCTGCTGCTTTAAAGCAAGCAAGGGGGACCTGCAGCATTGAAGGAGTTAAAGACTAATAGAAGGAAACAAAATGCCCTACCTTTCTTTTGAAAGAAAACTGAAGGAAGCTTCTCCAACTCTGTTGCCTAGTAGTTACAGGATCAAAAGAAACATAGCTGTTTTTATCCAATAAAATGCATTCCATTTATAAAAATAGTCAAACATCTTGATTAATTTATGCTAATTTATGTTTATTTTTCTGAATACATAAAAGAAAGTTAAGTGCTAGTTTTAAAAAACACATTTTTGCCCAAGGCTTAAGGACTGGTGAAGCTGTGACAAACACTAAGCTCCTAAAGCTTGGTGTGAAAGAAATGTTCAGCAAGTTGTCCACTTTAGTCTGTTTTTGCAGGTGTACAATTTAATTTCAGTGGCCTGGGTTGCTGCCATTGAATAAATAACTCATTCAAAGTTGAAAACCCATCTGGGAGTAGGAAAGGAATTATTTTTTACACTTTGACAACAAGCAAGGGAAAAATGTGTGAGACCCTGAGATTTCCTCATTCCAAAAGCCTGAATGATGCAGTCATTGGAAGAACCCATTTAGTTACCACAGAAAGACTGAGGTGGGAAGAGGCCTCTCTGGTGCTCTGTAGTCCAAGCCCCTGCCCGCAGTAGGGATAAATTTGTGGTCAGATCAGGTTGTTCTTGCACTAAACAAACCTGCCTAAAAAGACTAGAGCAGTTGGTTCAAACATGCTTTTATGTAGCCACTCCATCTTAGGTTGTATTAATAATTCAAGAAACCATTTTTAAATACTGTTTTTGCTATCAATTAAATATTCCATTTTCTAAATGTCAAGTAAAAAATGCTTCATTCACTATTTCCTAACAAAATAAAATGTAAATTAAGTATTTGAATTAATGCATGTTATAACTCTACTGTGCTTGTATAAATGTGAATAGATTAACATATCTACCAAGTTAAAAACGAGTGCCAATTTTAATATGAAGTCTATATTTATCAGCATATTCGCAGAGCTCTCAACCAATGACAGTAAACCCACCAAAATAAAGTACAAATAAGGAATGAAGATTATTTAACCTGTGATTAAACTCAGCAATTCATAGAATTTTGGTTCGAATCAGAACACCCTCTAATGCTTTTGTCTGTGGAGATGGA